GTAGACCCGACCGGCGGCGACGTACCGTACAACAGCTCGTACGGTGATTTGTGTCCAGGGTTGCCGGTAGTGGCGGTGCAGTTAATCTGGTGGCACGCATAAGAAATGACCTCGGCCCACAAGCCAGGGCTGACTGAAGCGTCGGGGAACATCTCTCTCGCTTGGATGCGGGAGGCAAGCGCAGAATCAGCAAGCAACCCCAACGCTCGTTCCGCTACACCGTTGTACTTGGGGGTGTTGGGGGGCGTGAATTCTTGCTTGATGCCGTATCTACGGCAGACCTCCGCAAACTGGCCCTGGAATTCTCCGCCACCGCCAGTACGTGCGACAAACACCTCACACGGGACGGTTTCTGCTCTATAGTCNATAAGAAATGACCTCGGCCCACAAGCCAGGGCTGACTGAAGCGTCGGGGAACATCTCTCTCGCTTGGATGCGGGAGGCAAGCGCAGAATCAGCAAGCAACCCCAACGCTCGTTCCGCTACACCGTTGTACTTGGGGGTGTTGGGGGGCGTGAATTCTTGCTTGATGCCGTATCTACGGCAGACCTCCGCAAACTGGCCCTGGAATTCTCCGCCGCCGTCAGTACGTGCGACAAACACCTCACACGGGACGGTTTCTGCTCTGTAGTCCGCCAGATATCGCTCGAACGCGGCAGCGGCGTCAGACTTGTGCTTCAGAAAGAAAACACGTGTCCAGCGGGTGCAATCATCTCGGATGATGAGGGTGTACGAGTTTCCATCAATGCTTTTGAAGTGCATCCTTCCCCCCAAATCGAGGAAGAGGCGGAACAATTTCTTAGCTACGCGTGTGTCCGTGCTCTTTGAAGTGGGCTTCACCTACCCCTTGGACATCGAACAGCCGAGGCATGGTAGCTGCGGTCCTCCCGTCAGCTGCACTCCTTGCTCTTTCGCCGTTTTCTGGAGTAGTTCCTCGTGCGTGTGGCCGTGCGAATTGTGGTAGTAGTTGAGGTCAGTGGGGGTGGCTGCTTTCGCATCGCCAGGAACAATTGTTGCGGCACAGGCGATGTCTACCTTCGGCTCGATTTGATAGCCTTCTTGAGTTAGCAGCTTACCCGTCCGGGGGAACCACACCTTCCCCCCGGCTCTCGTAGTGAGAGTCAGCCCCCCCTTCTGGCCGGAATACGTGTGGCCTTCCTCAACTCGCCGACAGTGAGAGAAGGTTGTGGGGGGACTCGGGCACATGGGCGGCGTTCAGGATTAGCACTGGTACCCTACCGCCTTCGGTCAGAAAGACTACGGTCACGTCTCCGTACCCTAGGAGAGGAACGGGGGCCTTGTCGCCTCTGATCCCCTTGACCCAACCACTACACTCGCGGTAGTTCATGAGCGCGTTTGCGCATCGGAACATGGAGCACGTGGCTGCTGTATCAGCCACGTACACCATGACATCCTGGCCTAG